CATGAACACACTGTAAGTGGCCTTGTCATGACTGCTTTCACAAACTCTGTCCTAGGTCCCTTTGCTTCTAGCTCTGGTCCTGACCTACTCTGCCATCCTAACAGGTATCCAGATGCCACCCCTGAGGAGCTCCAGGCAATGGATAATGTCTGCATCATCTGCCGAGAAGAGATGGTGACTGGTGCCAAGAGACTGCCCTGCAACCACATCTTCCATACCAGGTAGCTGGGGCCCGGGGAGCCTGTACACCCAGGCACAAGGCCCCAAGGAGATGCTGACCACTGCCTGGCCTTGTCTTACAGCTGCCTGCGCTCCTGGTTCCAGAGACAGCAGACCTGCCCTACCTGCCGCATGGATGTCCTACGGGCATCACTGCCAGCCCAGTCACCACCACCTCCTGAGCCCGCAGACCAGGGGCCACCCCCTGCCCCTCATCCCCCACCACTCATGCCCCAGCCCCCCAACTGTGAGTGCCCCTTTTCTTAGCTATACACCACACTGTCGGGTTCTTGCCTGGGCTGGGTGTGGGACCAAAGAGGGTGAAAAGATGAGAAACTGCTGACTGTAATTGCTGTTAGCAGGCCAAGTTCAGGGGCTGTGGGAGTAGAGGAGGAGCTCCCAGCAGCCAAACCCGTCTGGACATGGGATCTGGCTCACATCATCCCTCCTCTCATGCTTGTCCTCTCTCTAGTCCCCCAGGGTCTCCTGCCTCCTTTTCCTCCAGGCATGTTCCCCCTGTGGCCCCCTGTGGGCCCCTTCCCACCTGTTCCGCCTCCCCCAAGCTCAGGAGAGGCTGCAGCAGCCCCGTCCACCAGTGCAGGTGAGCTTTTAGATAATGTGGCAGAGGGTGGCAGCCAAGGGCAGAGGGGAGGACTAAGATGGCCCTAGGCCACTCTGACCTGGTGTTCTTCTCTTTAGCGGCCCTTTCTCGGCCAAGTGGTACAGCCACAACTACAGCTGCTGGCACCAGTGCCTCTGCCCCAGTGCCTGGCTCTGCCCCTGCCCCAGAAGCCAACCCTGCTCCAGGCTTCCCCTTTCCTCCTCCCTGGATGGGCATGCCCCTGCCACCACCCTTTGGTAAGTTGGGCCACTCCAAGATATTTTAGAGGGCGGGTAGGGTGCGTGGCTGCTTAGGCAGCCCAGACTAATCCCTCTGCTCCCCAGCCTTTCCCCCTATGCCTGTGCCCCCTGCGGGCTTTGCTGGGCTGACCCCAGAGGAGCTTCGGGCTCTGGAAGGCCATGAGCAGCAGCACCTAGAGGCCCGGCTGCAGAGCCTGCGCAACATCCACACGTTGCTGGACGCCGCCATGCTGCAGATCAACCAGTACCTCACTGTACTAGCCTCTTTGGGGTGCGTCTGCATGGGATAATGTGAATGGGTGAAGCTGCTTGGGGCTCCATAGTTGTTCTTGGCATTGGTCTTCCCTGTCACTGTGTGACATCTGCTAACATTCAGGCCTCCTATCTGCAAGGTCATTCAGTTTCAGTTTTGGGGAGCTCTTGACTCCTCCCAATGCCTTTATCCTTCCTCTCCAGGAGGCATATCTGATGCTATGGGAAGTGTTTATTAACTTATCTTCAATCTTATTCTTTTGTTTTTGGAACTCAAATTACAAGATGTGTTACAGAGTTAGAGGCACACTGAAAGCCCTGTTTTGGGTTTTTTTGCAGAACCGGGAATTGAACTCAGGGCCTTGCGCTTGCCAGGGAAGCGCTTTATTCCACTGAGCCATCTCCCCAGTCCCTGGTTTTTTGTTTTTTTTTTTTTTTTTTTTTTGGCTCCGAATGCCTTCAGGGCAGGTTTGGCTGGCTGGAGTTGTGGGGATCGAACCACAGCAACATGAGCCTGACTGCTTTGTCGAAGCAGCCACTTAAAGAACTGAGCTAGGGCCAGGCCCTTGAGTCCCTGGTTTTTATTTGTGTAGTGCATGCCTATAATCCCAGCACTTGGGAGGTTGAGGCAGGAGAATAACAAAGTTCCAGGCCAGCCCGGGTTACACAGCAAGACTGTATCTCAAAAAAAAAAAAAAAAGAGCATCACCAAAAAGCTCAAGCTCTTCCTAGTTTGCACTGCCTCAGCTCATCACCAAACACCTCCTGATGCTGAGAACTGCCAGTGCCAAGTGAAGAGATAACAGAGTTTAAGTGCTGACCCCACTACTACTTGCTTTGGGACTTCCTTTACTTTGTGGGAAGAGTAGTTCTAAATCCTACTCCCAGGTGGTATGTACAGAGTGTCTAGCCCTTACTCAGCATGGAGGGATGCTGGCATCCAAGACTTGAGCCTTCTGTGCCCTACTCTGGATACCCAGGAAGGCTGGCATGATGGCAAAGAAGTCAGCAGTCCCTGCCTGCAAATGATTGACAGTTCATAGGACAGAATCACTTGGTCCCTGAGGGCCACATGTGTTTTGGCTATTGGTGACTGCGGCCACATAGGATACATCTAGGATGCCAGGGACAGGATGGATTTTGTCCCTTCTCTTGGCAGGCCCCCCCGCCCTGCCACTTCGGTCAGCTCCACAGAAGAGACTGGCTCCACAGCTGTTGCTGCTGCCTCCTCTACCAGCACCCCTAGTTCTGAGGCTGCCCCCCCACCCCCAGGAGCCTCCTCACCAGCCCAGGAAACTGAAAAGCCTCCAGGTGGGTGACTGGCTTGGAGGGTGGGTGGGGCAGGGGCTTCCCTGGGCTCTGCCTCTGACCTCTCTGTCCCCAGCTCCTGAGTCGGTGGGTGCTGAGGAGCTTCCCGAGGATGGAGAGCCGGATGCTGCAGAGCTCCGCAGGCGCCGCCTGCAAAAGCTGGAGTCCCCTGTCGCCCACTGACACTGCCCTGGCCCTATCCTCACTCTCCTGAGCAGCCCTCGCTGGAACTCGTCCTGCCACCAAGTGCCAGCTCCCTCTGTCTGCACCAGGGAGTCCTAACCCCAGCTCTGAGAAAGAGGCAGTGGCACTCCTTGGGGCCAAGTGGAAAGAAGGCTGTTTCTAGTTGGTCCAGTAGCCTTGGGGGTGCCAGTCAATTCCAGCCAGCTGTCCTCTCCAGCTCTTCAGCACACTGTAGTGCTGCAGCCCAGCTGGCCAGCGACGTGAAGGCAGAAGGTTTGGCCTCTGAGACCCTCTTCCCCCCACTTTCCTGGGGGAAGGGCAACCCCTCTGAGCCCTACTTGTATGTGCGGGGTCATGCTGCAGTGCCGAACAGTATTAGCTCCCATTCTGTGTGGATCCTGGAAAGGCTGGAGCAGGCCAGGAACTTGCTGTGGCCCTCCCGCCAAGGCTGGTACCAATTTCCTCCTCTTACCCAAATCTTCCCAGAAGCCCCCTGTGGTGGTGGCTGTGCCCCCATGCCCTCTGGCATTTCCACATCTTACTGGCAACCATACAACTCAGGGAAAGGAGTGCCTGGGGGTGGGGGGCAGGCGGGCAGCACTGAGGGACCCTGCCCTGCCCCGCCCCTCCCCCAGGCCCTTTCCCAGCAGCTTCTCAGGTGAGGCTGAGCCGACTCACCCAGCAGCCACTGCCCAGCCACATTAGGGCTGAGGGCTGGCGTGCTGCTCCTCAACCACTGCAACCCAAAATCCAAGAAGCCCACTGTTGATCAGGCAGGACTTTTGAGTCAGGAACAGAACTACTTCCTCACCTAGGGCCTTTTGGCTTAAATCAGTCTTGAATTTGAATGCTTGACCCCAGAAAGGAGGAGCACTGGCTCCTATTTTTTCTACTTTAGAACAGGCTCTGGGACAGGAAGGGAACATGTGAGCCGAGGCCTGCCTGCCCGTCTTTCTTCCCCTCTGTTTTGTGTTACAAGAGTTGCTGGAGACAGTTTCAGATGATTATTTAATTTGTAAATATTGTACAAATTTTAATAGCTTAAATTGTATATACAGCCAAATAAAAACTTGCATTAACAAGTGGTGGGCTCGCATCAGATTGGGGTCCAGCTCCTCTTCCTGGCAGAGGCTGTGGGTTTGAGAATGACCTGAAACCTCCAGGAGTGAGGACATTTTCACTGTTTTGCAGCTAGAAAGACACACATTTTACATATTGAGCAGCAGCCTCAGAGAGGCTCAGTATCCCATCTGCGTCAGATCAAATAGGGCAGCCAGGACCTGAACACCCTCTTAGCCAGGTTGACAATAGAGTGAGGTCTTTGGCTCTTGTCCATGGCTGGCTAAGTGTGAAGGCTACTTGGACGGGATGGGTGTGTCAAAGGCAAACCTCTCTTCCTGCCTGCACATCTCTTGGCCTGCCTCTACTCCAGGCCAGAAAGTTGGGAAGGCCCAGACAGTGCAAGGGCTTCGAGGAACTCCCAGGCACCCCCTTGTGGCCAGGACAGCCAGAGCAGCTTAACTCCTAAAGCTAGAGACCCACCCAATGAGGCCTTGGTCTGGCTTGAACAGCACCCAGATCCATAACAGGACATTTAGATCTCCATGGGGCTGTCGCCATGGCACTCTGTGCCCTAGTACACTGCACTTGGCACTTAGACCCATCCGTGTCTTATGATCTCCACCTAGCAGGTCTGGCCTAGAACAAGGTCTCAGGTGCATTCCTAGTAGCAAGCAGGAATAAACCTGCCCTTGCAAGGTGTTAATTATTGAAACTCCTAATGATTTGGTTTGAAACTGTCTCATTGCTATTTATCAATAAAATTATGGGGGAAAAAAAAAGGAATAAACCTGCCCTGAGAACCCTCCTCTAACCAGGCTGGGCTATTGCTTCTACCAGATGATATCCCCAAAATCTGAATAGTTAAGCCCAAGGAGCCCTCCAAAGCAAGCCACAGTGATAGGAAGAGCAGCAATGGCTCCTACTACCTTGCCTGTTCCTGGTGGGTCTTCCACGCTATACAGCTCTCACCGGTGGACCCATAAATGGAGCCCATTTCCCCTGTACACAAGCAAGATCTGACTCCAAAATCCTTTAGCCCTTACTCTCTGCCATGCCCAAACCTTCAACCCTGGTTGTTGTATCATTCCCAGAGCTCTAATGCCAACTTTTCCCAAGGTTCCCCAGGCTCCAGTCTGTCCACACAGGCTGCTCAGTAGACCTCAGAAGCCCTTCTTGAGGAGCCAGGCTTTCAGTTGCTCATCAAAGTAGCCCTTGATCCGCAAGGTACCTGTCACCTCATTAACCTGGGTGACAGGTGTCTTCCCCAACAGTGGGCTCAAAAAATCTTCCACATCCTTCTGCAAGGCCTGGGGAAAGATGACAGATCAGGCATGTCAGTCTTTCTGGAAGACCCTGATCCCCCTTCCACACACACTTACCCAGATATCTCCCTCCACTTTCCGGATCACAGTCATCTGGCGGTTGCCATGTGTAAGGTCTTTGTAGACAGGGATGTTGTGCATTCGGGAGCGCCGTATCATATAGGGCAGGTTGGGTGGGGGATCTGTGACAAATTGGGACAGTGACAAGTCAACTCCTAGGCCTCATTCTACCTCAACCAAGGCCTTAAGACACCTCTAGAGTCTAGAGTCAAAACTGAATTGTTAAAACAAACAAAAACAAAACTGAATTATTCAATCTAGAACTCAAGAAATCAGGGCCATACCTCCTAGATCTCTGGGTACCCCTTTGAAGCCAGCTTTGCCCTTTTCCACTGGGCTAGGGAAGATGAGGTCAATTTCTAGAACAAACTACCATATGCTGGGTTCAGTACTAAGTGTTTCATTTCCACTTTACTGAAACTGGCTAGAAGAAACTAAGTGACTAATTCAAGATCACACCAGGAATGGACAACAGAGCCAAATTCAAACTCCAAGTTACTTGACTCCCAAGCTGTGTTCTAAATTATGGCAGTCAGGTGAGAGAAGGACCAGACACTTGGGTCTCCTCTTTATGTTTCGATTTTTGTCATATGGGGGCCCCTAAGCAACACTGAAGCTGGACAGGTATCAGGGCTCCACCCCTGAGCTCTTCCTTGGGCTTGAGACAATTCTAACCTTAAGGGATCTCGAGTCTGAACCCACTGGGCAGGCTGACTACTGGGGAGGGAAATGCTCCCTGCAGCCTTTCAACCATTCCCATTCCCAGCTCACCTCTAGGAGGCTGCCACCCACTAGGAGTGGGATAATGTTCATGCTTTGGTGGCTTTGGGATCCTGGTGGGGGGTAGCAGGCGTTCCACGAACTGGAATTCATCAGTTGACTCCACAAAGCCGCGGTAACCTGGAGGTTCCTGCGTTTGGCTCTGAGGTAAAACAAACCAACCAACCAAGTCTCCACTCAACACAAGAGAAACTTAGTGGAAAAAAGAAACACGTAGGAAAATCCGCATTAATAACTCTTATTAAACCAGGCGTGGTGGCACATGCCCGTAATTCCAGCACTCAGGAGGCTAAGGCTAGGATCCTTGCGAGTTTGAGAACAGCTTGGGCGAAAAAGTGAGCTCAAAGCCAGCCTAAACTACATAGCAGAGCCTGTCTCAAAAACACAACAACAAAAGACTTATTTTCCAGCGGGCAGCGTGCAAGTGACACTGGGAAAGACGTTCAAGCATTCAACAGTATGGGTGTCTCCGACTTTCTGTAGGGCTCAAATCACAAATATTAACCAATCATAATTTCCCACTCATATGGATACGATGGGACCCAGGCCCCGAAAGTCGATGCGCTACTGTCAGTCTAAACTAGACTTTGGGTTTTTTGGGGTTTTTTTCCCCCCAGAACCGGAGATTGAACTCAGGCCCTTGAGCTTGCCAGGCAATCCCTTATTCTATTGAACCATCTCCCCGGCCCCGCGAAACTGGGCTTTCCCGTAGCCACATTCCAACCTTCACTCCACCCCCTCACTCCTCCCAGGGCGCTCCGGCGTCTGCCACCTTCCTTCCCACTCATCGTTCCATCTTCAGGCAAGACACTGAGGAGGAAAACTAAGACCCTATGCATAAATCCAAGTTTCAGGGTTATAATGACTAACACGAGCGTCCACGCCCCGTTCTGCCACACCCCCCGCTCCAAGCTCAGCACTCTCACCAACCGCCGCAGCCCGCAACCCCAACCGAAGCCAGTTCTCCAGGAACGAAGGGGAGCACGGAGCAAGGCCGCCGCCATCTTGGGCTGCTCCCGACGCCGGTATTCTGCGCGCTCAACTGCCTTGGTCCCGCCCATTCCTGCGCGCACCGCCCGAAACCGAAGGACGCCTCGCGAGATGGGTTAGGGCGGGGTTAGGGCGGGGTTAGGGCGGGGTTAGGGCGGGGTTAGGGCGGGGTGGGCGGGTGGGTTAGGGCGGTGGTGGGCGGTAGAAATAAAAGAAGACCTTGCGTTGGCTCGCTCTGTAGTGACGTGACGCGCAGTGGGCGGTGAGGACGTGCGCGCTCTCGCTTCTTCCTTTCTGGACTCCATCTTCGCGGTAGTGGTGGCTGTTTCAGCCGTTCAGGTAAGGTTTAGAGGACGGTCGGGTTTGGAGGGCTTGGTGGCATTCCGGCCACTTGGTCAGAGACTGCGGAAGACCCAGGCACAGGGCCTCCCTGCGGCTTGCCCCCGGCCCCCAGCCGGATTCCCCAGCAAGCCCTGCTTGTCCCACGTGAGGCGCCGCGGCTGGCTGCGTCCCGGGGTCTTCGATTCCCAGACTCCCTTTCTCAGAGAGCGTTCTTGTCCTGTTCTTAAAGCCGGTTTTCTTTCCCTAGTTGTCAACATGCAGCTCTTTGTCCGCGCCCAGGACCTACATACCATAGAAGTGACCGGCCAGGAGACGGTCGCCCACATCAAGGTAAGGCTGCGTGGCGCTACCCGTGTTCCGGCCTCTAGCGGTACTCATTCGTGTTCCGCAAAGACCCTTACAAGACTTTTTTTCCTCCTCCGTAGGCTCATGTGGCGTCACTGGAGGGCATCGCACCGGAAGATCAAGTTGTTCTCCTGGCAGGCCAACCGTTGGAGGATGAAGCCACCCTAGGCCAGTGTGGAGTGGAAGCCCTGGCCACTCTCGAAGTAGCTGGTCGCATGCTTGGAGGTTAGTGGAGAAAGTCTTGTTTTTTGACTTTCTTAGTGTCTTACTATGCAGTCCAGGCTGGCCTTGAGCTCACTTGAACAGCCCAGGCTGTTCCAGAACTTGAAAGGATCCTCCTACTTCAGCCTGAGTGCTGGGATTGCCAGGGTGCACAACCACACCTGGCAGGAAGAGTGTTGTTTGTTTGTTTGTTTGTTTGTTTGTTTTTACGGAACCAGGGATTGAACTCAGGCCCTTGGGCTGAAGCCCTTATTTCACTGAGCCATCTCACTGGCCCAGGAAGAGTTTTTTTAAATGCCCACACCTAATGGGTGTGGGGTTCTTAGCTTTGGCAGCTCTGTCCATTTTTCTTTCCTTTTTTTCCCCCCCCTGGGCGGACAGGGTCTGGTTATGTAGACCAGGCTGGCCTCAAACTGGCAATGATCCTCCTGCCACAGCCTCCCAAGTGCTGGAATTAATTAACACGTGTGTCACCACCCCAACCCAGCAGTCATTTCTGAGATAATACACTTAGTGCTTTCTGGGGGTTCTCAATCCTGGGGGATTCTTAATGCTTCCAGAAGGAACTCGAAAGTTCATGCAGACTGAATTCAAGTATTTCTTTAAGTGTATTACCAGGTGGTTCTAGTTTCTGAAAGAAATCCAGGTCAAGCCAGATCTCCAAGGTGCTTTTCAGTTTTGTTAAAAGGAAGGACGTGGGGTAATCCCATCAGCCTGAGAAGCCGAATCAGCAAAACCATACAAGTTGAGCCAGCCCAGGCAGTTTAATGACTGAGACCCTGTCTCAATTTTTTTTTTTTTTAAGAGCTGAGGGTGGGGACTCCGTAGAAAGGCCATGGGTTAAGTCACTGGTTAAAAAAGAAAAAAATGTGTCAAGGAAAATTTTTTTAAATCAGGAACTGGAAAATTTTGAAGTAAAACTGAGGTCAAATTTCTGCATCCTTTAGTCACATATTTTAGAAATTGAATTGAAGCTGAACATGGGGGCAAACTAATCCCAAGGAAGCTAGGGAAGGAGAATGCAGATTTGAGGCCAGTCTGGCAATCTAGTGAAACTTTGTCTCAAAATAAAAAAGAGCTGGAGGTGTAGCTGGCTGTTAGAGTGTGTTTGACATTCATGCTCAGGACTAGGAAGAGTTTTTTTATTTCTAGGAGGCTTTCTGTCTATTTGCTTTTATATTTAAAAGTTTTAGGGGGAGAAGGGGAGGTTATGCTGGGAGATGCTTCTTTCTCAATGTGCTTTTGTTTATTTTCCCATTATAGGTAAAGTCCACGGTTCCCTAGCTCGGGCTGGAAAAGTGAGAGGTCAGACTCCCAAGGTGAGTGAGAATTAGAAGTGGTGTTTGAACCTTGTTCTGTGCTGGCCTGAGTGAGCCAAGACCTTTGGTTCTGGCCTGCCCACTTACTTGGTGGAGGGGAGGTTGAGGGAAGGCTGCCAGGCATGGGAGAGGTCAGCCAAAGTCTCACTGGGACCTGCCTTTCTGCCTTTTCTCAGGTGGCCAAACAGGAGAAGAAGAAGAAGAAGACAGGCCGGGCCAAGCGGCGGATGCAGTACAACCGGCGCTTTGTCAACGTTGTACCAACATTTGGCAAGAAAAAGGGCCCCAATGCCAACTCTTAAATGCTATGTAGCCCTGGCTTTCTCTAATAAAGCTACTTTGCCCAGTCAGTTCGTTTTTCTGTTTTTATTTGCAGGGCCTGGGGGAGAGCAGTGGCTTCTGGGCTGGCCAAGTATCCCCTAAAGCAGTGAAGCATGGGGAGAATGATAGTTTAGAAGTAATGGATTCCAGTCCTTAAAAGGTGGAGTTTGGGGGTGTTCCCCATCCTATATAACTTGATAGCTCCTCCCAATTAATTTTGTAGCTTCTAAACAGAAAAGATAGCAGGAAGTACTGGCTGGGGAGTTTGTTACAGATTCAGTGTAAAAGGGAGGGAGGTGGCTTGGGTAGAATAAGCAAGGCTTATTGATTGATGGTTTACCTCTGACTGCTTGGCCAGCCTTGCTAACCCAGTTATACCTATGAGAAGTTCTTCAGTGTTTCAAGAGGCTGGTTCAGGGTTCTCTCCTAACAGTTGAGTCTTCCCACACAAAGGCTTAAGCCTTTTGATTCTTCAAAGATGGCCAGCCTACCACAACATACTGACTTAGAACAGCTGATTTTTTTTGTTTTTATTTTCTCTTTTGCCCCATTTTCTGCCTGGCTAGTAGTTGCTGTGAAGATACACAGTTTTGAATTTTTTAAGCAGGTCTTGCTGTGCAGTTCAGACAGGCCTAAAACTTGTGGCAAACCTCTTGCCTCAGCCTCCCTTACGCCACTACACCCAGCTAAAAGATAGAAAATGAAGTTTAAATGTTCATTTTTGTCTGTAGTCTGAAGTGTGTTTTGTTTTTTTGAGACAGGGTCTTGAGTCTTGCTATGCAGTTCAGGCTGGCCTTGAGCTCACTTTGCAGCCCAGACTGGTCTCAAATTCAGTGCTCCTCCTGTTTCATTCTCTGCCTTCTGAGTGCTGGAATTGAAGGTGTATACCACCATGACGACCCTCACGTAACTTCTTTTTTTTTAAATTTTTATTTATTTATTTATTTATTTATTTATTTATTTATATTTTTGTGTGTGGCCAGCTCAGCCCACCAGGGGGCGAGGCAGGCTGGCATGTGGTGCTGGGGGATTGAACCATGGTCCCTGTGCTTTGCTTAGCTTAGCTTGTTCTAAGTTGGTGCTTTAGACCACTGAACCATCTCACCAGCCCTCACGTAACTTCTATTGAGTCTTTTTTTTTTTTTTTTTTTTGCAGAACTGGGGATTGAACTCGGGTCTTTGTGCTTGCCAGGGAAACACTTATTCCACTGAGCCATCTCCCCAGCCCCTGTTTATTGAGTCTTAAAATAACAATACCAGGAGTTATAAAATTAAAAAACGGGTTGGGGATATAGCTAAGTGGTCTAAGCATTTGCCTGCCAAACTCAAGGTCCCAAATTAAATCCCCAGTACCCGCCTGCATGCCCCACAACCAGATGTGCGCATCTGTAATCCCAGTGCTGGGAGGTTGGGACAGGAGGATTACTAAACTGTGTGAGACCCTATACCAAATAAATTTTTTTTTTAATTTTTTAATATTTATTTATTGTCGGGGCCGGGGAGATGGCTCAGTAGAATAAAAGCTTGCCCGGCAAGCACAAGGTCCTGAGTTCAATCCCCGGTTCCACCAAAAAAATAAAAAAAAATAAAAAATTAAAAAATAAAAAAAAATATTTATTTATTGTAGGGGGGAGCAGCTCAGCCCACCAGGGGCCGGGGCTGGCTGGTATGTGGTGCTAGGGGATCGAACCGTGGTCCCTGTGCTTTCCAAGCTTGTTCCAAGTAGGTGCTTTAGATCACTGAGCCATCTCTCCAGCCCGCCAAATAAAAATTAAAAAAAAAAAAAAATTTAATCACTGGCCAGGGTTCAATCTCTGGCACCATATGCCAGCCCCGCCTCCGGGCACTGTGCTGGCGATGGAGTCTGGGTGTGGTGGCGCACGTCTATAATCTCAGCACTAGAAAGGCAGAGAACAAGGATCACTGTGGGTCCGAACTGCATAGTGAGACCCTGCATACACACAAAATTAAAAACAAACCAGCTGGGTGTGCTGGTTCATCTCTCTGATCCCAGGACTCAGGCTGAGGCAGGATGTTAACATTGAGTTTGAGGCCAGCCTGGGCTCCATAGTGAATTTAAGAACAGTCTGCATTACAGAGCAAAACTCTTGTCTCAAAAAAAAGTTTTGGTGGGAGGATAAAGTCTTGCTGGCCTTGAACTCACTATGTAGTGGTCTAAACTATCAAAGGTCTTCAAGTCCAGCCACATGTTGGTAGTGAAATACATGGCCTGTATCAAGATTAACGCACAGAGCCAACAAGGTAGCTCAGTGGACTAAGTGCCCACTTTGGTAAGCACATAGACAGTCCAGTCCCAGTCCTACATGCCAAGATGGCCCCGCCCATGGGGCGCAGGAAACTTGCCACCAAGTTCAGGTGTGGCAGCACAGGCCTGTAATCCCAGCATTGGGAAGGCTGAAAACAGGTGGGTCACTATAAGTCTGAACTGCAGAGTGAGACCCTGTATCAAATACATAAAAATTAAAAAAAAATAATGTATAGCATAGCTGGGGTTGGAAGGATGAGGCAGGAGGATCCCTGTGAGTTCAAGGCCAGCCTGCACTACCTAGTGAGATCCTGTCTCAAAAACAAACAAAAAATAAATGCAGAGTAATTCAGAGTCAGAACAGATAGGATACAGGGTTGAGTGTGAGGTGAGGACCAAAGAAGTGGGGCTAGCTGGGCACTGTAGCACATACCTATAACCCCAACACTGAGAAGGCTAAGAAGAAACAAATTTCAGGCCAACCTGGATGGCTTAAACAGATTCAGTCTCAAACTTTAAAAAATGGGGGCTGGGGAGGTAGCTGGGCAGCCTAAGCACCTAAGCACCTGCCTGGCAAGCACAAAGACCCAGGTTCAATCTCTGGTACTGCATGCTGTGCTGGCCCCAAAACCGGGCATGGTGGTGCGCACCTGTAGTCTCAGCGCTGAGAAAGGAGTACCACTACAAGTCTGAGCTGTGTAGCGAGACCCTGCATCAATAAAAATAAAATAAAAACAAATTTTTAAAAAATGTGGTAAAGGGGGTGGGCATTGGGCGTGACTCAGTGGTAGAGAGCCCCTCATTCTATCCCCAGTACTGCAAAACAGACCCTGGAAAAAGAAAAACAAAACAAAACACCTGGGTGTTGCTTGGCTGATGCATGAAGTGAGGCACCATGGCGCTTGGCATGGTTGTTTGTGGCACGTCCCCAGTACACACAACACTCAGTCAGACTTAGGCCTTCTCTCGCATTCTCTCTGTGCTCTTTCTTGTTCCTTAATATGGAGTCTACCTTAACAGAGGCAAATGGACAGTGGTGATGTGTAAAGAGAAGCTACTCAAGGAAAGAAGAGGCCTGTGTGGATGAGAAAACTCAAGAGAGGAGTTAATCTGATAATCATGGGTTCTGTTGAAGGGGCAGTGCCATCAACACATCAAAGATGAGATAGGGACTGGGGAGATGGCTCAATAGAAAAAGTGCTTGCCTGGCAAGGGCAAGGTCCTGAGTTCAATCCCCGGTTACACAAACACACACACACACACACATACAAAAGGGGCTGGGGAGAAGGCTCAGTAGAATAAGCATTTCCCTGGCAAGCGCAAGGATCTGAGTTCAATCCCTAGTTCTGCAAAAAAAAAAAAAAAAGAGGAGGTAGCCTGGGTGTCCTTGCCTTCACCATTCTTCTGCTCTTTTAACTGCCTCCCTAACATTTGTCCCTTAAGCAGAATTGCCGCTCTTCCAGTGCAGGGAGCCATTTCATGTATCATAGGTCTGACACAACTGTTTAGAGAAGGTTCATGTTTGCCACACCTCTTTGTAGTACTGGAAAGGTTGTTGTTTTCTGAGACAGGGTTTCATTATACAGTTCAGGCTGGCCTTGAACTCACTTTGTAGCCTAGGCTGGCCTCAAACTCGTGGGGATCATCCTATTTCAGCCATTCCAGTGCTGGGATTACCAGCATGCGCATGAGTATAGAAACTTTAAAAATTTTTTTTTTATTTTTAATGTAATCTGGTTCCAGTGTTGGGACAGCCGCTAGAGGGCGAGCTGGGACCGAAGAAGCGTTAGTCACGTTTTTTTTCCTTTAGCGTTACTGTGGTGGGCGGGGCTCGTACGCTAGGCTTCCGAATCTGGTCGGAAAAGGCCGAGAAGCCTCGGCAGCCTTGGTTGGCCCGGCAGAGGCGGAAGGAAACAAAGCACCACCGGAAGTGGCTACACTGCTGCGCCGCGCCAGTTACCATGGAGCCGGCTGGGCCCTGTAGTTTCTGCCCGGCTGGAGAGACCCAGCCAGCTCGGTACACCTGCCCTCGCTGCAATGTGCCCTACTGCTCACTGCGCTGCTACCGGGCGCACGGAACCTGCGCCGAAGCCTTCTACCGGGACCAGGTGCTGGGAGAGCTCCGCGGCCGCAGCTCCTCTCCGAGCCGCCTGGCAGGTGCTCTGCGCCGGCTGCGCCAGCAACGCGAAACCGAGGACTTGCCTGAAGAAGCAGGCCAAAGTTCTGGCCCGGCGCCTGGCGCCGTTTCAGGACTCTGGGAACGGCTAACGCCGGCCGAGAAGGCTGCCTTCGAGCGGCTGCTGAGCCGCGGCGAGGCGGGCTGGCTGCTGCCCCCATGGCGGCCGTGGTGGTGGGGCCGCGGGACCGAACCGCGGCTTCTGGAGGAGTTGGATGGTGGCCCCGGCGGGGACCCTGAGGAGCCGGCGAAGGATGCCGCCACCACCGCGGGGCCGGCTCCCGAAGACCCTGCTCGCGCGCCGCCCGTGCCATCCCGCATCCCCACGCTGGCCAGTCTGAGCCGCAGCCCCGCCTCGCCGCTCGTACGCTTCCAGCTGCCTAATGTGCTGTTTGCCTACGCGCACGCACTCGCCCTCTATCACGGCGGGGACGACGCGCTGCTCTCCGACTTCTGTGCCACACTGCTTGGCGTCTCCGGAGCCCTGGGTGCCCAGCAAGTCTTCGCCTCGGCGGAAGAAGCCCTGCAGGCCGCAGCCCACGTGCTGGAAGCAGGCGAGCACCCTCCAGGGCCTCTGGGCACACGGGGTGCGATGCAGGAGGCCGCCCGAATTCTGCGGGGTGAGGGTCCGGCAGACCGCAAAGGCTACACGCTGGCAGCGCTGGGGCACCTAGCACAGACCCTGGGCCGGGCCCGGAAACAGACTATGGCTACAGAAGAGCGAGATCGTCTCTACCGCGCGCGCAAGAAGTGCCAGTTCTTGCTGGCTTGGACCAACGAAAATGAGGCAGTCCTCACTCCTCTGGCACTAGACTGCATCATGGCCCACCGAGCCCATGCCGTGGCAGCAGAGGAGATTGCAGCTCTCACTGGGGAGCTGGAGCAGCTTTGGGGAGGCCCTGTGCCACCTGCCCCAAAGACTCTCATTGAGGAGCTTCCTGGCTGAATGGGGACCCGTGTCATTAATAAAACTTGACTGATTTGCCCACTGGTTGATAGTGCCTGTGTCTGAGTGACAAATCTGGTCCCTCATAACCAAGACTCATGGTATTCACACGCTTTCATCTTCTCCCTTCTCAGTGTTGATCCAGCTGGTCATTACCACAGTGGCCCCAGAATATGAGAGAAGTGTACCATAGGTTCTGGATATTTATGCAGAAGGGAACAGTGCTCCCCAACACCTCTTCTGTGAGCCTGGTCCGGCTCAGGGATGGCTGCAGACCCTGGAGTCCTCGTATGTCCTGGCTTCCTGGCCCCCGTTGGGGGCAGCAGGACTGTTCAGTAGATATAGGGCACAATCCGGTAAGGTACACGCTGGCAGTACTCGTGCCAAGCCCGGCCATACTTCTGCAGGCACTGCAGCTCATCTCTGGCCTCTCGGTGCACCAGCAGCGCAGCAAAGTAGAAGAAGTAGAAGTAGGGAAGCAGGTGGGACACCCCTGTAAGAAGTGGGGCTTTGTGACCAGCCAGCACCCCAGGTCACAGGCTCCCACACCAATGCCTCAAAAGTGTCAGACTCAGCCTTGCAAGGACCAAGGCCTTAGTGAGACACCAGTACTCATTGGCACTGGGCCCCACCCAGCCACACACCATGCCCCTCCCCAGGCATTGACAGGAAAACCAGGCTGGGCATCGTGTCCGTTGTCATCTGTGTCACTTACCACAGGGCAAGGACCAGGCCAGAGCCATGATGAGGTCCCCAAGGTAGTTGGGATGCCGGACCATACCCCACCACCCAGACACCAGCAGTCTCTTCCCTGTGGCTGTAGGGATGGTCTCAAGGCCTAGGGAACAAAGGTAATAGGGTGGGAAACCCCAGAAAACCCTGTTGCCCCACTTCTCCCATGGCCTTCAAGGGACCCAGCTCACCAGCTATGCTGGGGTCGGAAGGATTCTGCCGGAAAGTGTTTTTCTGGGAGTTGGCCCCACGGAAGATGTAGTAACCAACGGCTAGGGAAAAGCACAAGCAGGGGTCAGGGTTGAGGGTTGTAGCCATCTGCCTGGTCCTGATCATCCACCATTCTGTTCGTAGCCCATACTCTGCCTGGACACCAAGCAGCCCCAGCTCCAGCTTTAGACGAGCCCCTGTGCTTAGCACCTCCCCACTGAATGCTGAGCAGGAGGTGAATGAATGAAAGGGGGAAATGACAGGCTCAGTCTGCCTCCCTTCCTGACTGACCATTGATGAAGCAGATGAGCAAGGCCCTGGGCAGCCCTAGGGGCTGTGGGTGGTACAGCAGGAATTGAGCCTGCAGGCTGTAGGTGAAGGGTACCCAGACCAAGTCACCAAATGCCAGCATGAAGCCAAACCCATCGTGGGTGATGTCCATGGTGGTGAGGACAGCCTCCTGCAGGGACAGGACCCAGAAACAATAGCTTGAGTGCTGCCAAGGTCCTCTGAGTCCCTCCCTGCCTCCCTCCCCTGCCTAGGCCAGCCTCACCTCGTACCAGAGGGCATCACCCACATAGAGCAGCTGGAAGCCATTGACCAGCCACATGGCCAGGGAGGGGCTCCCTCGAAGCTCCGTCTCCTGCAGAAGCAGGGCCAGGTTGATGAGGACCTGGGAGGAGGGGAAAACAGGGCAATCATCTCTACTGAAGTGGCAGGGCCTAGCCACACAACTTCTCCTTCAGCTGTCATTATCAGTCACTCTTGTTGAGTGGGCCAAGGCCCTGTACTCAGGGACGCAGACTGAAATTGCAGCTCCTGATTAAAACTGCTGCTTTTGAAAAAAAATGATAAAAAATATGAAAAAAAAATCCTGCTGCTTTTGAATCTGAGTTTTGTCTACAGCCATACCACCCTGAACATTCCTGATCTTGTCTGCATCTGAGTTTTGCCACTTGGGCAGAATGCTTACTTTCTACCACTCTGGGGGAAATGGGCATATTAATCATGGACCTGCCTCATGGTGGTGTGGTTTTATGGTTTGTTTTTATTTTTGTTTTTTGAGCCAGGGACTCACTGTGTATTCCAAGCTGGCCTTGAACTCACTATGTAGCCCAGGCTGACTGGGAACTTGTGATGATTGACTGCTGGGATTATAGGTGTATGCCACCACACTTAGATTCATAGTGGTGTTTGAAGACTCCAATATAAGATGTATGTGAAAGTAGGATCCAGCCTGTACTAAGCACCCTCATTTAGGTAGTACTGGGTTAGGTGCTATTAATGACGTTATAATTCTCACAATGCTCTTGGGAAAAAGCTTTCATTTGATCCTATTTCATGAATGAGGAAATAGCCCAGAGACTACCATGCCTGTGGGCAGGCCCAGAGTCCAGATCCATGATGAAGGCAGGTGTTTGACACACACCTATAATCTTGACTATTTAGGAGGTTGAAGCAGGAGAAGCACAAGTTTGAACCCAAATCTGGGCAATTTAGTGACTTAGTGAGAACCTCTCTCAAAATTATTTATTTATTTATTTTTTGGTACTTGGAATCGAATGCAGGACCTACCTCACACTTGCCAGGCAGGCACTGTGCCACTGAGCTAAATCCCTAGCCTTTTGTCTCAAAATTTAAACTTGAGACATTCTTTTTTTTCTGGTGGCAGAACCAGGGATTGAACTCAGGCCCCTGCGCTTGCCATGCAAGCGCTTATTCCACTGAGCCATCTCCCCAGCCCATGTCTCAAAATTTAAAAGGGGGGCAGGGATATAGATAGCTTAGTATGAAGGCCCTAAATTCAATTCTCGGTTCCCCCAATCCCCCTGAAAAAAAGATTCATGGAGCAGCTGGCAAACCTTTCAAAGTGAGATTATTTTTAAGGTGACATGAGGACCTTTGTGCAAATGCCTTTGGTAATCCATCCAGCATGGCTGGTCTTAACCAAGGAACACAGCTGAAATACTGTCAACGACACCAGCTTGTTGTTAAACATTTCAGTCAGAGGTCAACACGGCCTTGATTGTCAAGAGTGGCACATGCCCACTGTTCTAGAAATAGATTTTGCACTTGACTGCTGAAGTTAAAGCTGTGTGTGCTGTCCCAGTTGCCCCCTGCTTTGCTTTCCTCCATGGCACTTGGCGTCTTTGACATGCTATGTGCAAGTGTTTGTTTTTGCCATGCCAAGGGTGGAATTCAGGACCTCACACACACCAGGCAAGTGCTCTACCACTGAGCCACTACATATGCAGCCCCACTATATGTCTTACTGATATCTGGTCTGTTCTTCCAACCAGAAGGAAAGCTTTATATATTCTCCCTCTTGTTGCACAGTACTAGAGCAGTATCAGGCACATGTTGGATCCACAGGCATCCTTCCCCTCCCTTGGCCCCAGGTCAGCCCTCTCAAGCTCAGCATACCCAGCCAATGAGGCCAGGCCTCAGCTCACAGAAGTATTTGAAGTCAAAGAAACCAATCCGAGGATTCAGCTCCCGTCCCATGAAAAAGTCATAAATGAGGTTGCCTGGAGAGTAACAAAGTATGAAATCTTGGTCAGGCAGCCTCATCTGCCTCCATCCCCACCCTACTGGGCCCCATCTCACCTGAGTTTCCCCCAGGTGCCAGGCCTGAGGCAGGGGCCACCTGAGCCTTCATATAGAGAAGGAAGCTGAAGATGAAGGTAGTGAGGGTGGCCACGAACGCCAAGGGCAGCAGCACTTCTGAGAGAGCCCCCAGGGGAAGTCCCGCGGATATCCCCAGCCCTACCAACAGGGCGGTCAGCATCAGGGCCTGGAAGCCTGAACAGCAGCAGAGTGAGTCCGGGGGCTGTGGCTCTCACCCAGTCCCTCAGAAACACAAGACACGGAGACATTCACACACGGATATCCAAGCTCAGGGAGGTCACAAACCTCACCCTAAGTCACTAGGCGGCCACCTTACCCTTCAAAGGGCCAATCCTGCCACTGGACTGGTGTATAGTATAGAGTAGCAGGAAATAAGGCAGGGCTATGGAGACATGGGTGCGAGGAGACCCCTCTGGTTGTCAGTCGTGGGTGAAACCCCATAAAGGAGCTTGCGGTTGGGATCAACCTTTATGAACTCCCAGATAGACATGAACTCCACTGCTACCCACAAAACTCCAGCCCAAGGGCCCGTCCCCCAGGCACCGTTAATAGGATAACGCAGGCGACTCTTGTCCTTCAACTCCAGCCCTTCTGCCACCTGCGAGTGCAAAGGGAGTCTGAGAAGGGTCGGGGCGCAGGGTCTCCTGCTGGGCCCACTCCTCCCCCTCTCTTTGGAAGGAAGCCCAGACCTTGCGTGCCGGCAGCAGGTAGAGCGCCGCCTGCAGGCCGAGCCAGGTGAGCAACAACAGCAGCACCCGAGGATTCCACAGCTCGGAGAGTCCCGGCAGGTGCGCAGGTGGCCCCAGGAGGCGAGCCGGGCCGGAGCGGGCCGCCAGGAGCAGGTGCAGCGCGGTGGCAGGCAACAGCAACATGAGCGCCGCAGCGCCTGGAGAGGGATCGCGGCGTTTGGTGCGCCCCTCTGCCGCCCGCCTTCGTTTTCCTTCAAAGCCCCAGCTTTGCACCCTGCCTCCCGGTCCTCCTCCCTGCTTCCCACTCCTCCTTTCCTACGATAGCCCTCCTGGATGTCCCTCTGCGGACACCACCCCAGCCTTTTGCTTAGGAAGTCCCCACCCACTGCTTCCACCCTTAGATCCAGCGCTGTCCTCGATCACAGCTCATCCCTTCCAGCAATCCTTCACTCGGCCTCTGCCCCAAGCAACCTCTCTGCTCCATTACCCAGGGGGCCCCCGAATTCCAGCGGGGCCTTCAGACCCTGAGGAGAGGCCATGATCTCCGCTTCGCGGGCGGTAGGAGGTTCACAGTCGGCCAAGGAAACTCGGTCTGTTATTGCCCGCGAGGCACCTGTCCACACGCTGGACTGGACAGCGCTTCTACGCTCCCTGTGGCCACGCCCCCTACCCATTCTGGCACCAGCACACCAACCAATCAGCAGATAGGGTGGGCCGGGCAGACACCAATGTAGCCCCAGTCTTGAAGCCCCGCCCCAGAGAGAAAAGCTGGGAGAGGCCACACATATTTTATTAGAAGTCCCACACGGGCCTGCCCGGGGAAGCCACTAGGGGAGCCTCGGCACGGCGAAAAGGACGCTGCGAGGAATCCACTGAGCCTATCCACGCTCGCAGATGACCTCGACGACACTGGGCTCCATGGGCACTGGGTCCGGACAGCGCAGGGCTGCCGAGGCCACCACTTCATCCAGCAGCAGATGCACAAGCTCCTCATCGGCCACAAAGCGCCACAAGTAGAGCTGCAGGAAGTGGCAGTCCACCTGCACCTGCTGTAGCCCAAAACGCCCAAAGGTGCGCAGACGCACACACTCCAGTAGGGTCTTCAGGCTGATCTTAATGATGCCAGTCAGCACTGATACCTGCAGGGACATAGAGATGTGGCCCTTTCTGTTGTTGGAGGTAGGGACAACCAACTTCTGCATAGAGGCAACGAAACATAAGGTGGGGGCAGGTGCGATAAGGCAGAAAGAGCCAAGGCTCAGATAAAGGGAGGGGATACAGTGTTAACACCACCATCTGGAATGGACAGGTACCACCCAGCAAAAACAGGCTGAGAAGAGGTCAGCATTAACATAGGACAGGTCAGGGAGGGGAAATGTAACTGAGAAACCCAATCACTGAGTGTGGGCTGGGCTGGGGCTGAAACTGAGGTGACCAGCAATATCTCTGGAGGCTGTATGGTCCTAGGGCTTCCTTGGCTGGTGTGGGACTACTCCCCCAAGCCCTCCTAAGACCACTGGAGACTGGGAGTCACACAGAACTTCAGACCTTGTTGAACTCCACAGGGCTGAATACATCAATGCGTTCAGAGAACAGCTTCTGGATATTGCTCAAAAGGTTGGTGTCCATGGGGGCACTGGAGGGAGGAAATAAGAATCAGAGCCCACCCTGCACATTTGTCCTTCTTTGTCCATTTCTCTGAGGCTTCCCTACCAGGCAGACCTGGGTGTGTAGCTGGGTGCATAGCGGCCCTGCTGCCGTGAGCTACTGTACACTGAGAAGGTCCTCTTGCTAGAGTCACTGCTCTGGGCCTTGCGAACACCCTCTTCATACAGGAGCCCTACCTGGAGGTGAAAGGACACTGCATGGGGGCCAAGCAGAGGACCCCTTGGGCCTATTAAGTACTAGGGACCCAGAGGATACAATTAACTGCAGCATTTTTTAAAAAGAATCACAGGGTAATGGTCAGCATGTATGGAATCAGTGGAGTAGGGCAAGGGCAGGCCACAAGAGTCTGGGGCCCAGTCTTCAGCAACAGACCTGCCCTTAGTGACCGTACTGATGAAACAGGGTGATGATACCATAATCCTGGTTGAGAGGAACAAGGCCATGAGTACAAGCACTGCCTAGCCCCTCTGTCTCAGGTCTCAGTGGGCTGACCCTCAGAACCCCCACCCACATCATGACTCCACTCCCAGCCCAGGCAGCACCTGCACATCAATTGCTGTGGTGTCCTCCACCACCCGCTTCATGACAGCACGCACATTGCGGGGCTCCAGGGTACTGAGCCAGTCACGTGTCTCTACACTCTTGCGCAGCATCTGTGATATGACCAGGCCCTGTACTTTCACATAGTGAGTCAGTAGTCGCCGTGCCGTTTCCCTGGCTTCTGCACACAGTGTGCTCACAGGTGTCACTGGAGACTGGTCCTGAGCCAAGGAGGCAAAAGGAGCAGTGGAAATCGGGGCAGGACATTGGTAGCACCAACCTAGAGCTGGACACAGCCTGGGCAAGGTGGAAGTTAGATGGACACAGATGGCCAGTCTGGGTTTGGCCACAAGGGATCATTTAGCCTCCTGTGTCCCAGCATCACCCAATACCACCCTGCTATAAGCCAGCACTTCACCTGCACCAGAAACTGCTCATCTGTGAGGGTGAGGATATAGGAGATGGTGGCTGTCTCATAGTCCAGGCAGAGGCGCGAGAGAAGCAGGAGCAGGGCAGGTGGTGTGGCACCTCCTTTCTCTCCTGGGCTGTCACAGAAGCTCTGAGCTGTCTGGCACATGGAGCGGATGAAGCCCACAATGAGGGTCTCTCGGACTCCCTGGCTGCAGAACTCACCCTGTAAGGAGGGAGGGGCCTAGATATATAGGTGGCCTCCTCTACATAGCAGAGGCTGCTCCTTACCCTTGCCTAGGCCCTGCTTCAAGGCACAGCTTCTTTCTCCATTCCAAGTACCAAGGGCAGCTTCCCTGCTTGGCCCAGGCACAGGGAGTGGCAGGCTGGAAGCCCTGGGGATCCTGCTACCCTCCTACTTTCAGCACAGCTGCAGGTAGCTACAGCCTCCCCAGTCCTCCCAACTGTACCACCTGAGAACCCAAATCCACATCCAGAGTCCATGCAGCTAGGACTGGGGGTGCTGTTAGCTCCTACTCAAGGTAAAGTATTTGTTTCCCACACACTGGTAAAGGGTACTGGTATGGGACCAACTACCAAGATGAATAAACATTAGCCCAAGGGCAGACTGTACCCGGAAGTATGGCTTGTTGGAGAAGGACACCTCCTTGGCGGTGAAGAGGTGAACAGCAGCCAGAGAGGCCTTGATGTGGCTTAGGATGGAGCTGGCCACATTGGCCAGCAAGTCAGCTAGGCTGGGGCCCTCCTTCCCAGCCAGGCGAGGAGCAGCAAGTGCCTGGCGCACATCAGTCAGACAACCCAAGAAGGCTGCCCGCAGGCCCTGTAGGTGATGGCCCAGCCGTTCTTGGGCCACACGCTCCACAATCTCCGTAGCTGACTCAGTGAGCCCAGCAGCAGCCAGTGGGGCTCCAGGTGCCCGCAAGCGCCGGTGGAAGCGATCCAGCGCCCGCACAAGCAGAGAGTTGTCACCACCACCCTGTTCCTGTGCCAGCCGCCGCTCAACCAGCTCAAAGTAGCGGCTGCCCAGCTCCCGGGCAAAGGCTGCCAGCTTCTCTGCACCTGCGGGGCCCTGGGCTGCAAACAGCTCTTGGTAGGCTGCTGCCACCTGGCAAAGACCACCCACAAAGCCACTGCCACCCCGGTCAGTGAACTCCAACACATCAGGCGCAGGGGGCGAGGGCCCTAGCTCCTTTTCCAGAGCACGCAGCTCCTCCTCCAGCCGCCCCCGGGCGTGCACCAGGAACTCCTCGCACAGCTCCTCAGCAGGTTCGCCCAGCGCCAGCAGGAGCTCTACACACTCAGCCTGCTCGGGGGCTCCAGAGCCGCCCTCCCTGTGGGATCAGAGAGGAAAGGAAAGGAAAGGAAAGGGCAACAGCTCCCAATGGCCCCAGAGGCTGGCGCAGACACTGAAGGCTCATACCTAAAGCGCTGCCGTAGCTGATGTGCAAGGCGGGCCGTGATGACCTGGCAGTCATCCTGGATGGCACGGAATGAGGGCAGGTGCTGGTACTGCTGTAGCACAGCCTGTGCTCGGCCCTGGTAGTGCACTGCTTGCCTATAGGCGCCCAGCTCCACACACTTGGTGAGGCGCGAGGGCAGCTCGAAGAGGAACTGCAGCTTCCGCAAGAGTGTGTGCACCCCTGTGAGACCAGGATGGGACCAGAGGGCTGTCAGCCCAGAGCCCAGGGAACTGCCTGTCCTGTTGAGGGATCTACACAGGAAGGTGCCCACCTGCCAGCTTGGTGATGCGCTCGTGGCGGTCCTGCAGTGTGGCACTAATGCGTGCACTGAAGTCAGTAATCACAGCCATGTTGGTGGCCAGCCTGTCCATCTCATCCTCCATCTTCCGGAAATCGTTTTTCATCTTCCGAATGGTGTCTAGGAGAGGAAGGAACTGGAGGTGACAAGGGGGTGGTGGCACCCTAAGCCTCTCAGCATGAGCCAGGGCACTAATACCTATGACTCCCATGAAAAGGCTGAGTCCCTGCACACTGCAAGAGGGAACACTCTATCAGTGCAGAAAGCTTTTGCACACACACCACCCATGTCCCCCAGTGCTGGTATCCAAGGGAGGGGACAGAGGCAGGGATCCAAGGGCACTCTGCCCTTAGAGTGTGTCTAGATCTCAAAGAGGGCCCCACATGGTAAGGACTGCAGCAGCTTGGTTTTTTTTTCATCGTGCTGTTAGGAGAAACTCTGCAGGGCTGGAAGACAGCTCAGCAGTATGCATGGTACCAGCTCTGAAACTGGGCATGGTGGCACATGCCTGTAACCCCAGCACTGAGGAGACTGAGACAGGAGGATCACTATGAGCCTGAGCTGTGTAGTAAGACCCTTTATCAACAACAACAAAAAAGGAGCTCTGAAGAGGCTGAGGCCTATATGCTCATGCTGAGGGGCACCCTCCTTGACCAGCACAGGGGGGATAATACAGTTTACTTTTTTTGAGATGGCCTCGCTATGGAGTTCAGGCTGGCCTTGAACTCATTTCTCCTGCCTGAGCCTCCAGAGTGCTGTATGTGCTGCATCTGCCTCATGTACATCTTTATCTTCTTCCAGACCCCCAATCTTTCATTTACATCTACAATACTGTCTGTCTTCTTGGAAGGGGCCTTGCCATTTTGTCCTTATAGAACTCTCCCTAGCCAAGTATGGTGGTACATGCCTGTAATCCCAGCACTCTGGACGCTGAGGCAGGAGAACTACTGTGAGTCTGAGGCAAGCGTAGGCTAAAAAGTGAGCTGAAGGCCACCCTGAAAGGCATAGTGAAACCTTGTCTCAAAAAAGACAAAAAAGGGAAAAAGAAATCTCCCTAAAGAGGCCTTTTATCCTTTCTTTCTTTATTTTTTTTGCAGAACTAGGGCTTGAACTCAGACCCTTGTGCTTTCCAGGCAAGCACTTATTCTACTGAGCCATCTCCTGGGCTCCTCTTATCCTTTTCTACTCAAGGTGAATTAGAATCTGGCTCCTTAAAGCTTACTTACTTATCACAAAGTGCCAACA